GCTCAGAATACTTTTGTAGAATTTATGTGTCAGAAAGAAAAACAATGTAGCAGCGTGTTGTGAACCTTTATACGCGCAACATGGCAAACTTTTTTGTTATACAAATATAAAAGAAAGCACATCTTGAGAAAGCACCGGAGAAATAGCTGTTTAAGTTTTAGCAGTCTCCTTAGTTGATAAAATTTGGTGAATATTTGCATTTCAACTGTTTCTTTCAGTGAGGTGATGGATATTTTTAAAAAAGTAGCCATCAAAACCTTGTTTCTTGGATGCAGAGAGAGCTGCAGGGCCTGGAGACAATCTGAGGAACTGTATCTGACTGGATTTATCCTGGAGAAGAAGACAAAGGAGCATGAGTACTGTTCTGATTTTTGTATAGGTTCAGTAAAAATGTAGGACTATCACCCTTTGAGTTTCAAATGCAAGTATGTTAATCGTTCCATATATATATTAGAGCTATGAACCTAGGATTGCCATACATCTGGGTTTTCCCAGGAATTGGGCTCGGAAAATGGCGTTTGGGCAGATTTTTGCCGAATTGACAAAATGTCAGTGAAAAGCCGGACGTATGGCAAGCAGAGCAATTTTTTAAAAACCAAGCTTTAAAAAGCCTTTAAAGAACCTAAAAAATTAATGGGGAGTGGGGGGAGATGTTCCCAAAAATGTCCGGATTTTCACTTTAGGGAATATGGCAACCCTTAATGAACCAGTTAGAATTTATTACCTCTTCAGCAATGTTAATAATTGCTTCAGTTCAGATGACACAATTAGAAAATGCTTCTGTTGATTAATGCATGGTTTGGGAATGTCTCAAAGGTTTAGAGGATCACTTGGGGGGTATCTCAAGTTTTAAAACCCACTCACATTTTAAAATCTCCATTTTTATTCCACCAGTACTAATTTACTGATTATGGGATGCTTTCACTTCTAACATTACATATGACAGTACAAATATTTTTATTGCTTATCTCAGCGTATTTTATACGTTAAATCCTAATCAATGTCTGCATACATCATGACTGAAAATTCCTTTTTTCTTTTCTCTCATCCTGAGAAATGAAAATTTAAGAAATGAGAGCAGTAATTAATTTGTCTGATATGCCTATCCTGCATTCATCTAAAAGAATACCCTTCTGCCCATTATATACCTTATAATTACATGCCCCGCCTGGAGTGTTTGTCTTGGCATTTAAATCTGCTTGTGCTCTCTAGTGGCATTTCATAGTGTTGCCAGCTTGGAATTACACGACTTAACATGGCAGATCATGCTGAAAAGTAGGTTCCTCTATATTTCTAAGTTGGTGAATGCATACACAGAGAGACAGACAGACAGACAGACAGAGTGATACTGCTGTGTCTTACTTTCCATACTTGTTAATGTTTACATAATTACTACTGTCTTAGATTTAATCCAAATGACTTTATATATATATATATATATATATATATATATATATATATATATTATATATATATATATATATATATATTTTGGTGTCCTCGGGTGTCTTCCCGTGTAAAAGTTGCCTAGACACCCCAACTTTTACACGGGAAGACACCCGAGGACACCAAAAACCTGCATTCCTGTACCCGTGAAAATCTACGAAAGCAAATATATATATATATTATATATACATATACATATACATATACATAAATATAAATAGAATGAGTGCTGCCAGTTGTAAATAGGAAAGGCCCTGGATGCTGAAACTGGTGAATGGGGGGGGGATCTGATTCCATTAATGTTAGGACTTTGGTTGACCAACTTTCAAGCAAAGGTTGAAACTGCAAAAATATATTTGTGTAACATAGATTTTACCCCATTTTTCAATTTAAAAAATGCTCAGGGTGTCATACAGTATAGCACAGTGTTTCTCAAACTTGGGCCTCCAGCTGTTTTTTGGACTACAACTCCCATCATCCCTGAGCACTAGTCCTGCTGGCTAGGGATGATGGGAGTTGTAGTCCAACAGCAGCTGGAGATCCAGGTTTGAGAAACACTGGTATAAAATAACAAGAAAATACAGAAAAATAATTTGTAAAACAGTTCCTACTGAAACATGTCAGGGATATTAACAAATGACTGCAAACATGCATGCACCGGCAAACAAGTTCAGTTGAAGCTGTAGGGGATTGAATATCAATTTTAGTCAGTACGTACTAAGCACTTATGGAAAAATAACAGTATTTCAGTACCTACATACAACATACCAACGTTTAGAGCTCTGGTGATGCTTGACTTATATTTGAGGGTAGGGTGTCCTTAGCCAGCATATATACTGTTTGAACATAATATTATTAGAATTATAAAACTTGAAGCAGAAATTCATTAGATGATGATACAGAGCTTCATTATTACCTCTAAAATGTCTGAGTTACGCTCCTTCCTGCTCATATCTTGAGAGGCCGAGGGGGAAGGGGAAGATTGTCAGAAATCATCCATGAGCCGAGCTGCTGCTCACAGAAGGTGCCTTGCCTCATTTTGAGGTGATCAGTCCCTGTTAACCCCTACACTCGAGCTCATCCCATTTAGCAGGTTCCCCTAACCCTAAGGAGAGATGCTTCAGACAGCTTGTGGAGCTGTAGGTGGGAGAAGGGGGCAAGAAAGTCACCTTCCACCAACTTCCTTCGGTCACAGTTACTCTAGATCCAGCTTCTTCATTGCTCCTTTGTTGAATTTTCTATTGCAGCCTCCCTGGGACAAGTACCTCTTCCTTTGTACTCTGTAGATTGGAATGCATGCTTATGGCAGTACATAAATAATAGACACAAGTGTCTTCAAATGAGAGATTGGGGGTGAATTCATTTAATGATCGTCTTCGATTTTGTTTCAGAAAGCATCTGAGATGTTATATTTGTAGCAAGTGCATTCTATATAAAAACAAATAAGACCCTCTGAATTAGGATTGCCTTGCCTCTTTAAAAAAAATATTGTAAGTGATGCTCTCTGGAGTTTTCCGCATACATTTTTTTTTAACACAAACTGAGAAATACCTGAAGCATAGTGGGTAGCCAGTAGGTTTTCTGCAGGGGTTACTACTGAGAGTTGACAGAGGGCATCCTGGCAAATGTTCAGAAACTCGCATTAACTTTGTTGAGCTCGGCATGGGACCTTGTGTTCGGCAGAATTCTCCTGACCTGCCTCTCTGCATGCCGAGCTAATCAGCAAACACCTAATGAGCCTGCTCTAAAGAAACAGACCCTCTCCCAGCCTACTTCATTTTCATAGATTCTCTGGGGGGAGGGGAGAGACAAGACTTCATAAGGACTGATGATGCTGCAAAGACCACAATAATGATAATTAACTTGCTGAATTTAGAAGATTATGCTGTTAATTAGTTGCAAAATAAAGATAAGTAATAGAGGAGCAGATGGTAAGATAACACCCAGGAGAAGGAGGGTTATTACTCTGATGAGGTTTTGTGGCAGATATGAAATATGGATCTGACTTTTTCATAAATTGTTTCTACAATATATCCTCTTGTTTCTGTGAACTCGTGATGGAGTGATCTATTCCTACCAATTCTGACAGATGTGATAGGGATTTATTTTGAAGGGTATACATATTTTTTATACTAAAAAAGATGCCTTTGCTGTTCAGGATTAGAATGTCGTCAGTGTTTCAGCAATATTGCAAATACAAATTGAATGACTATCAATGTACTTCATCATTTCTAATTATACTTTAAATATGTATTTTATTATATCACTAGAGAGAACATTAACAATCACTATCAACAGTATGGTGCAGTGAATAAAGAGCTCAATTCTACAGCTTAGTGGGTAGCCTTGAGCAAATTTTCTCTCAACCTTACCTACTTTGTCGGGTGGTTGGGGGTACATGTAAATTGCCCCAAGCTCCTTGGAGGAAGAGCAGACTTCCAAATGGTGGTCATGAATCTACTTAACAGGTTGAAATTATTGGGTCGATTATTGGAACATTTTGAAGGCTTTAAAATATTTGAGACTATTTAGGAACAAATATTCAAACTTGTTACACAGGGCTGCCCCGGAAAGCATGGCATCATTTTGCACTCTTCCTATAGGTGTTGTGATTTCCCTTGTCCTGTGACTCACCTCTCCAACTTCATCACTCCTTTCTTCAGTGACTTGGTCCATTTTTTGTCCATTAATGCTATGGTGGGGGCAGGGAGTGGATGGCCTAAATTGTTCAATTCCTTGGGGACTTGAGGCATCCCTTCTCAGAAGCGGTTGTTGCCCTGCCTCAGCAATTTGACTGGAGAGAATATCACCCTGAAGGCTGAGGGCCTGGTGCTGGCTGAGCCAAAATACTTCTGTGGCTTGTGAATGCTTCTGTGAATATATAGTGATATATTTTCCAGTTGAGGGGGGCAGGGAGGTTGCTGGCTGAGTGAAGCAGCAGGTTCTGAGCCAGTTTTGCTTTGCTCCTTAAGCAAAATAGCTTGGGGAGGGGGACAGCTGTGGCCAAGCCATAAGTAAGTATGAGAATGGACGGGAAATGGACCTAAAGGCCATCAGCTGGATATTCCTTCTATAACCATATATACTATGTAGTTAGAAAGACAACGTAATATTTTTAAGGGGTTTTTAATAGGTTTTCTGCATTTATTAATTTATATTTTATTGTAAAAAAAATAATCAAATATAAAGCAGTAAAGTGATACACAAGAAAAGGAAAAAGAACAAAACAAAGAACTGTGTAAAGGTGGAAAACATTATATGAATATATACAAAAAATACCCTAACCCATACATTCTTTTATAATTTTGATATTATCCTAATATGAACAGAAATATTAACAGTCCACTACATTTTGTATAAATTCGTTCCAAATATTGTCATGTTTATCCAAGCAGAGTCTATGTCTGTAAGCAGTCCATTCATAGGTTGCAAGTGTTACCATATTATCAACCCACTGATTAAAGAACGTAATATTTTTAGTGATCATTTTTAGTTATTGAACTATGGAACAGATACCTATTGTTATCCTCTGGTCCCTTTGATGTTTTTGGTACTTGTATTTGGCCAAAAGCACTGGATCACTTTGGCGGTGTGTACAACTCACATCACAATCTGAAGTACCCCTTCTTACTAGCTCAGAAATATACTCATACCTTAAGCATATAATAGTATTTTTGCTAACCATTTTAACTCTGTGTTTCATACCCATCATCTTGTTTACATTGTGGATCTATAACTTTCTGGAACTAGAAGAAGTGGTATTAGTCATTTCTTTGTAAAAGGAAAAAAGACAGGGGAGGCAAAATGAAGTACAGGCAACTGTTGTTTTAGGCGCAACTGATGTGTGTGTGCAGTTGCGCACATGTGCACAGCATTGAACCTGGAAGTGACCCGGAAACGTCATAAAAGACATCACCAAAAAGGGGGGGGCGGAGGCAGAACAGGTGCAGAATGGGGTGTTTCAGTTGAACACAATTTCACACAGGCGTGCAGTGACATTGAATGCAAATCCTGTGCAAATCGGGGGTTGTCTGTACAGTGGTACCTCGGTTTAATAACAGCCCTTTTTACAAACTATTCGCTTTACAAACTCCACAAAACCGGAAGTAGTGTCCCGGTTAGTGAACTTTACCTCGGTCTACGAACGGAAGCCGAATGGTGGAAGGACACCGGCGGCGGGAGGCCTCATTAGGGAAAGCGCGCCTCGGTTTAAGAACGGTTTCGGTTTAAGAACGGACTTCCAGAACGGATTAAGTTCGTAAACCGAGGTACCACTGTATATGCTTAGAATGAAAGCAGTTGGTTGTTTCCAGTGCTGTGCGGGTGGATCTGCACTTGCACAAGGGAAGTTTCCTCCCTTCCCATGGCAGCACCCTGCACCCTCCCAAAAGCCTCTCCTGGAATTTTGGGGGTCTTCATCAGAGGTATGGAATGGAGCTGCAGCAGGAGGAGGAGGAGAATCTCCGAAAACTGGGCATGAGCAGCTTTCACAGGCAACTCTTAAGCTAGTGAACAGCTGAGTAAGTTGACTATTGTGGCCTGCAGTTGTTCATCGTGGAAAAATTCATTTTTGTCTTTCAGAGATTGAAAGCTGCCTTAACCCAGCAGCACTCTCAGGTCACAAATGGAGATACTGCAAAGGGACAAACAAGTGGATTGGTTAGAACTCAGTCGGAGGAAGCACGGCCACAGTCGCTGCAGCAGCCTGCTACATCTACTACTGAAACACCGGTAAGAAGCCTTGCTTCTGGTGCTGTTTGCTACAATATAAACATCCTGTGTTACTTCCTGACAGACTCTTAGCTTAGTGTTATGTGCAAACCAGCAACCTTGGCTTACAACAAACCAGGCAGCTTCATTAACCCGTGGTTTGTAGTTGACTTGTTTAGCGACTAACTATTCTTTGTTCAGGCTCACTGAGGCTCATTCACTAAACCATGGCTTAGCATTGCATATGAACCAGCCCTATATTGCAAGTGCTTGAACTCTTACACAAAATATTTTTTAATCCTAGAATTTCCTCTTTTTAAATACAAAAAAGGGAGAAACTCTCCAGAGGGGGAGCCTAGTGAATATTGTGGATTTTAAATATTTTTTTTACAGGGTAGCAGTGGGGTTGGGAGAATGGCTCACATTTGGGTAGGGTAATTTTTCATGAGTTGGAAGTTTAGTTCTGTATTGCCAACCTGTGTTTGATATGTCTGCTATAGTCAACATGTCAACAGTGCATTTTGTTTTTACTTTAAAACTCTTTAAAATGAAAGCTCAAGATTGTATGTGTTCAATTTATATTCTGCACTAAATGAGACCATTATAGTCAATGCTGTGGGATATATTAGAGGAATGTGAATTTCTGTCCAAAGTCTAAGCTTGAACTAAAAGTTTTGTGGCAATGAACTCTGGCATTCCTTGCTTCCTGCAGGCTTCTCCAGCACAGCTTGCACCGCAAACGCCAAATACAGGGGGTCGACGACGAAGGGCAGCAAATGAAGATCCTGATGAGAAAAGGCGGAAATTCCTAGAGCGGAATAGGGCGGCAGCATCAAGGTGTAGACAAAAAAGAAAAGTTTGGGTGCAGTCTTTGGAGAAGAAAGCTGAAGACTTGAGCTCGTTAAATGGTCAATTACAGGTACGTCCTTCTGCTTGTTTGCAATTTTAAAACAATCTGATAATAATGTAATACAATAATTAACAGCAATAGGTGGAATTCAACGCTATGCCAATATGATTGTTCTACTTGCCAGAAAGGATGATCTCCTTTTGATTTTTCATTTTTGGGTAGAGGAGGAAAGGAATCTTTTGTTGGCTTCCACTATCAAAGTTGGTTAGTTGAATCCATTTAACAGGACCAGAGCAAACAGTGTAATTTTAGGCTCGTCCAAATGACGTGTGATTGCCGGTACACGGCGGGGGGGGGGAATCATAGGGTGAAGTGCTGAGAACTGAACCCCATTGCCCCATAATATTTCATCTTTCCCTCCCCATAAGTGTCTCAGGAGGTCCATTTTTTCACCTTCTCCCCAAAAAGAGATGGAGAAAGGGTGCAAGCTCTGAATATCTGGAACTTTCCCCAATGAGGTGCACATAGGGTGAGGTGAGGTTACAAGTGACCATCAGGCGTTGCATATAATGCAAGCCTGCTTTGAGAGGCGTGGTGGGCGTGAGCTGCTTGTACCCATTTCACAGTATAGGTATGCTCCAGCAAAGTTTCCAGAGCCAGTCAGGTGTATCTACCCATGCATTATTTTAAAAAACCCGAAGACAACTGTAAGATTGAAGGTCAAAGATTTTTCCTTCTTGGCTAATCCTTCACTTTACATAATTTAAAATGTTTCTGTTTGTGACAGAAGAGGTATAATGGAATATGAAGTAGAAACATGAGAAAACAGTGTAATGTAAGTGCAGGAGGCCTGTGTGTATGATTGGCAAGGCTGGCAGTAGCTAATAAGAATATACACAAAAACATCTGGAGGGCACCAGATTGGGGGAGGCTGGCCTAGAATAAATGTTACCTCATCTATGTTTTCATTTGCATTAAAAGACAATGGACATTTCTGTATGGATTTTTCCTACTTAAACATATTTTTATAAGCATAGACTGGAACACACACACACACAAGAGTCTCAAGGGTTAATCTCTTTCATGTAAAGCAGAGGTGTTTTTTATAGTCTGCCAGCAACAAAACTGGCAAAGGTGAAGAACAGAATGATGTGTAAAGAAAATTGAACGGCAAATAAATTATTTAAACTATTCATTATCTGAAAATATTAATCCTGTATTCCAAAATGATTCATCATTTGATAAAGCAGGCACAGCTGGGTAGTAATAACCCATGATGGCTTAAGTTGAATATGTGTTTTGATACGTTTGGCCTTCCACAGCATGTTAGCTGTGAAAAAGTGCTGGTTCTCATTCTAGTTTTGTCAGTTTTACAAAATAAACGAGCTGGGGGAAACTGTTTGAATCATATGAATATGAAATATAAAAATATTACTGTATGGTGAGGCTCACTTTCAGAGTTTAGATAAAGTGGGCTCAACCTTTGGCTCTTCTTGCTGGACTTGTTGTTTTAGCTACAGCAGAAGAACCCCCAGCTTCTGCCTTAGCAGAATGAGGTCAGACGGATATTGATACTTGCATCGTTTGCATAGCGACATTTAAAAATATTGGGAGATCAATGCAACTATGTCCAGTATATTTTAAATTCCCCACTTCCTTAATGTATTCATCTTAAATATGTCACATTAGAATTCTCCATTCAATTATCTGTAATGGCAAAAAAAAATAGTCAATGCCACTAACTTCCCTTAAAATGTGATGCACAACGTTTTGATATCTGTATCAGACTGCATATAGAAGCAAGAGATCAAAAGGAGTTGAATGTAATAGACCAAATGTAAAGCAACTCCCAATATTTTCTTTGAATGTACAAAACAAACAAGCTGCTTAGCCAAAACTGCTGCAGTTCACAGATAAAGCGTTGTGTTAATGTGCCTAGAAAGTGTGTGCTGTGTCTTGTATTTGTCTTTACAAAAGCTTGTAAATCTCAGTTTGAAATGTATGTAACTTGATCCTGGTAAAGTATGTAACTTTTTTCTTCTTCTTTAGAGTGAAGTCACCCTGCTGAGAAATGAAGTGGCGCAGCTGAAACAGCTTCTTCTAGCTCATAAAGATTGCCCTGTAACAGCCATGCAGAAGAAGTCTGGCTATCATAGTGAGTAATGTTCCATTACCTATATAGCCTTAGGCTGTACCAGTGAAATACTGCCAAAGCAAACAGAGATAACATTACAACTGAGAAGTGATGTTCAAATACTTCACTTTAAATATAACAATTCCTACAAGGCTGTTGCAAGATAAATGCAATGATATATTGAATCTTCTTCTGGATTCTTGCAATTTTAAAAAAAGTATTCAGTTACAGCATGGTATGTATTAATATTTAGAGATTGTATGCAGTTTAATAGTACCCAATTACTTTTTTTTAATAAAAAAATAAAATTAGTTATTTCACAGGTCATAGCTGTAAGATAGAATCTCTTTATGTTGTTTACTGGTCTTTCCACCAGAAATAAAATGAAATAAATGTTTACCATAATTTTATTCGGGGAAGGAAGAATGAGCTTTAATGCTTATGGTAAAAGTAAAATTGATAAAACATTGGAAAAATGTTCTTAATGCTTTTACTTTTTCAGCATTTCAAAGGTTAATTGTGTGTTTCTTTCTTTTCTTTTTGGATATAATACCCAGCGCTAGAACCAGCTGCTGCTGTAGAATAAATGGCCAATTTTGTCCATTGTACACAAATTTGTAACAAATAACTGAGCTGGGAATGCATTAGGCAACATTCATAATATATAACCCACAGCTTTCATTTTTATGATTTAGTGATATTTCAGTATATTTGTAAATGTGAAGATTGTTTCTGCCATATGTAGCCACTTCATTTTAATTTGCCAGTGTCAGTAATTTAGGAGAATAAAAGAACATTTTGTATTGCATGCGAACAGTTCCTCAGGTGCTTGCGATAAAACTTAATGGCCACCATCTTTACTTGTAGTCATTGTAAGCAGTTTCATCAGAATGGGCAATATTTTTTAATTTAAGAGATTCCGGAGATTTAGCAACACTCTGTGGCTGTATATATTTAGAACTCTGATTTTGTCAGTTTTGAGCTTATAAATCTCGGTCCTTTTGATCTCCAGTCATTTGACAGGATGGAAAGTGGCATCTTGGAGCAAATTGAAACCGTGCAGAAATATGTTTTGAATTTATATTAACAATGATTGTTGCAGGGATGAGGCCATTATGGTTCCCATCTGACAAAACAACATTATTCCATATAGAAGCAGCTATAGGATTACATTATGCATGCATAGTTTGCTGAATGTGCTTAGGTGTCTTGAATGCTGATATTATGAAAGAGAACTATCTGGTTGTACATTTAGCTTGCAAGTTTAAAGTACCAACACAGAGAGAAAGTGCATACTCCAAAATTTGCGCTATTGTTGCAAACTCATTTGCAGTGTGTGTTGTCACTTTTGGCGGATATTGGATTATGGTCTGCAGGAATAACTATACATAATTGCTCATTGTAAATATGCAATAAGATGGATTGGACGGAATCAGATTTATAGGGCAGGGTTCACCTATAGAGCCCCATCACTGGAAGAAGACCAGTGGAAGGACTTCCACTAGCTCAGTGGGGCTTTCCCTCAAAATTGGCTGGGGGGGGCGGTGTCAGAAGAAAACCCATGTTGAGGGGGAGGCAGGATTGTTCCATCTGGCATGCTGATATGGTTGCACAGATGGAACATTTGCTTGACCTTGAATTCCATTCTGTAGTCTGTATTGCCTAGCATACTCTTCATAAGGTGCCTCAGCTACATTATGAAAATGCTGAAAACAAGTGATACAACTCACTGAAGCCTTGAAGAAAACAAGAGGGATAGTAGAAGCAACTTCCCAGGGGGCTACCACCAGCCCTTCTTTATTTTATTAAATTTGTATACCACCCTTCACTGAAGATCACAAGGCAGTTCACAACATAAAAACACAAAATAAGAACACAAAATGCACCATGAAACAAAAGCTTCTTCCTTATGTTGTGCTAGGCAATGTTCGCATCTTCCTCAGGCTCCATCTTAGATGTTTAGAATAAACTAAGCATAAACTCTGTAATAATTGCTACAGCATTTCTGACCTTGTGCAGGTCCTTAATTGGCAAGTTCATGCACATTAAAGGTGAAAGTGCAGTACCAAATGGCTTCACTTGAAAAAGGCTGCATCCGTAACTGACACGTTGTAATCCTTAACTGTGATGACGTTTCAGGAGATTCCCTCAGAGAAGATCCTAGTGTACTGGAAACATTTATTAGACAAGTCTGAATTAGCGATTCTTCAGCGCAAAAGCCAGCTATTTGGGAAAGGACTTACAGTAATTAATTGCTGTGGGTCTCAAATCCCTGTGAGCAGAACTCTGCTTGCGAGATGCTCCCATTAGGGGAAGTGGGGTGCAGAAATGAGAATTTCCCCTGCAATTCTTAGTGTCCCCTCCCCCCACAAAAAAGGAGTAGCTTTAGAGAGTTGGGAGAGGTAGTGCTTGGGGCTGCAAATTGCCTCTTCACCAACCCACTGCCTTGTCAGTGTCATCCTTCAGTGGAAGCAACTCAGGATCCAATGCTATGTTTGAGGTAATGTCCTCAGAAACGCTTGTCGAGTCTTCATTTGCTTTTGTTCAATGGTCTTGATAACATAGGTGCCTGCAGATACAAAAAACAGCAAACAGCTGTGTCAGAATGTAGAATTTACCTGTACTATAAAATTATGTTATTAAATGTACATTATTTTCTCCATCATGGCCACTTTATAGGGTTGATGAAAATTAAAATCCTCTTGATTGATGTGTCCATCTGTGATGTGGAAAAGTTTCCACTTTTGTTTTACTTTTTACAAAAATGTTCCACTTTGTTTCATAAAATTAATTAATAATGTAATGGATGATTACAATACATGTTACATTGGACAACTAGAATGGTTGCAGTGCTGGTTCAATCAAAAGTCAGAGTTATATTTAACTTTTTTCACTTGTTTTCCAGGAAACACACATTTATGCACACAGCTCTTCAAGTATGCTAAAATTCTTATGTTAAGTTGTCAGTGCCTTCCTTTCCCCCCCTTAAAATCTAAATAACAGAAGGGAACTGCATGCTCTTGAGCTGTCACATCTTAAAATATTTAGGTATTCCAGTAAAAATTCCCAAAGTTTTTGAATTTGTTAGAACATAACTTTAAAATAAGTGCAGTAGGTAGCCGTGTTGGTCTGATGCAGTTGAAATACATAAAAAAATTATCTAGTAGCACCTTAGAGATGAACTAAGTTTGTTCTGGGTATAAGCTTTTGTGTATCTGAAGCTTCAGATGGTATCTGAAGCTTCAGATGGTATCTGAAGAAGTGTGCATGGACCCGAAAGCTTCTACCCAGAACAAACTTGGTTGGTCTCTAAGGTGCTACTGGACAATTTTTTTATTTATTTAAAATAAGTGTACTTTTTCCTAATCCAATATTTCAGTCCCACTGCTTTGGCTATCGTCAAAATCCTACAGGTATTTATACAGCATATGGAACTAGCATCTCATATTCTAATTACACATTTCATTGACGAGGACATGGAAATGTTTTTGTTTTCTTTTTCAGCTACAGATAAAGATGATAGTTCTGAAGACATTTCCGTGCCAAGTAGTCCTCACACAGAAGCTATTCAGCATAGTTCGGTCAGCACTTCCAATGGTGTAAGCTCAACCTCCAAGGCAGAAGCAGTGGCTACATCGGTTCTCACCCAGATGGCAGACCAGAGTACAGAGCCAGTGCTTTCGCAGATTGTAATGGCTCCTCCATCTCAGTCGCAGCCTTCAGGAAGTTGATTAAAAACTTGCGTTGTTTTTAGATACTCCTTAGCAACTTCAAAGGGAAACCAAGGAAAGCAGCCTTCATTTAGGAGAAATCTGTAGCTTAAAAATGATTCATCTGTAAAATTCAAACTTGAATTTGGCTTTGAAAGTTGGCGAACAGGAATGGCACAGCGGGTTGTAGTCTCTTAACAGACACCAAGTTCATTTTCCTTTCCTAATTAGGATTGCTAGTTCTTTTCAGTGCTCGTCATGTAAAGTGTCGGTACAGTTTAAATGTACTTACTACTTTAATTTGGTGGTATTCCAAGCAGTCACGTAAAATGCTCACCCCAAAAAACTGTGATAGTAATCTTGTAATATTTTATACCAAAGTTCTGCATAGAATCCTATTGACTTCGTAAACTCTACAAGATCATTAAAGCACTAGGCAAGAGAAAAAGACAGGAACAGGAAATTTGCTTTTAGTCTTTTTTGCCTTTATATTGTTTTGCACATTATGAGAGGGGGGAAACCTTTGGGAGAATATGTTTGATTATATTGTGTAGCATTTTCTTTGGCTTTTTAACTGTTTGGGTATTTTTAAATAATTTTGTTTAACAGGGCCAGTACAGTATATGGAATACAGTACTTTTTATGCACATATGTAATCTTGATCAGGGTCATTACTAGCTAGATTTTCTTTTTTAAAATAGATGTCAGCTTAGCTAGCACTTCCATTTTATAAAATCAGAAGCTTTGCTTCTGCTGCAAAAACAAAAACCTGCAGCTAATACCCTCTTACTAAACAGCCAAGAACAACGGAAAGATTCTGAACAGGGTTGTGAAAGATGGAATACTTTTTCAAAGCTCACTTGATATTTTGTGGTTTCTTGAGTCTTAAAGAGGAGCTTATTCATACTGCAAGATAGTATGGGTGCCAGGAAAGCTTGAAATTCCCTCATCAAACTACTCAAGACCTTCTTTTTTTGTTTTTGTTATTGTATTGTATTTGCAAGGTAACTTGTACTTTATTCTTGTGTAAGCACTGTCATCTTTTAGTAGCAAAATTTTGATACTTTTCTTGTGGGGAGAAAAAAAATCAATATTTACCGTACCGTGGAAACAATGTAATTATAGTGTGACGTGTGTATGTGTGTATGAATGAGAGAGCGAGAGAATGGTTCAGTAGTTACGCCGGCAATCTGTGCTTGAATGTTTAAAGATGCCTTCAGTGTGATGCTGGCTTGGTAGGTGATTGCAGTTTTTGAAATGTTATTTACCGTGTGAATTTGGATAACTAACATTCCATGATGTAGTTTGTTTCTGATAAGATGATTGTAGGTACACTTTTTCTCATTATCCAATCATCTGCAGGATATTGAGTTTTTTAATGTGCCATTATCTATTTTAATTCTGTACTCATGTTAAAAATATATAATATTTTACGATTAAGTTGTAAAAGTGCAAAAAGAAAAAAATTAAGGTATGTGCTTTCATACCGGAGAAACTTTGCATAACAGCAGAGAAAAACTACACAGTAGCAGCATCTGGCAGTAAAAAAAGAATTCCATTATGTATATAACAAACATTTAATGCATTTATTGTGGGTTTGTGTAACTCATATGTTCTACGCTCTGTTTTAACCTAGGGTGCCATCAAACTATGAAACATTCAGTTTTAAATCATTGGATTTTAATAGGTGGTAATGGCAGAGAGCAACTCTTAATTTGTATGATTTACAACCAAACTAGAATGGAAGCTGAACGAAGTCCTAAAATTATGTATATATCATTTCAGTGCTTTAAGTCTGAAAATAAGAATTTAAATATTTTGTGTATTAAAAATGTAAGGAAACAAGTTTTTTTTGCATAGTTTGCAAAAAGTGCTCCAGACACCTTCATTTTATCAGTTTTTAAAGGGTTAATTTCAGAAACAAGCTTTAATTTTCTTTTATTTTTAACCCACAAGTATAGTGACGAAGTCTCCAGCACAAACTGTGAATTCTATTTAAAAATTCCTCTCTGGAGGATTCAGCTCTAGTCACACTGGGATGGAGATGTGAATTCAGTTGAAAGCAATGCAGTGCAGGTATATGGCGTCTACGTTTGTATGTGTGCCTGATGCATACTCATGGTTTGCAATTCCACAAGTTCATATACACGTAGAAGCCTGCTTCCACACATACTCCTCCTCCTATGGATCGGGGTGGAGAGTGTTTGGATTGGATGAACAAAGTGGTTATGTTTCCTCCACTAAATCTAGGCATAATCTGCTAGGCACTGCTCTGCTACCCACCTTCATTTCTGCTCCTAAGCAGCCCACTGAAATGAATGGTGTTCATGCATTAGCAGTGCCTGACGTTGTATAATACAGTCCTATTTTTAAACCTTATTTAATACAAAGTTTTTTGTTGGTTTTTTTTTTAAGTAATAAAGCTGTTGCTGTTGTAAAGTAAATCTAAATATGTGCAAGGAGAGATGTAAATGATTTTAATGAAGGGATTAGTTAAAATCCTATGTTCAGCAAACAAGAGAACAGTTGTATAACCATAGATTCCGTTTTAAAATGTATGTCACACTACTTCTGTACTTCGCATTCGAGATCCTTGCATTTGACATGTTTCACAAACTGTACTGTTTTTCTTCAATGTGCAGTTTGCATGAGTAAGTCATCAGAGAATAAAATCTATCTTTAAATTGTATCTACTGCATTGCAATTCTAACTTCTGAAAGGCCAAGACGGCATCAGATTTCTTTTCTGCTGCAATGGTTCCTGCCATTTCTATACAACTGAAACGCTTGCCCTGATGGCCTTAGCATAACATTGAAATCTTCCCTCAATTTTTTAAAAAAATGTTTAAGCTGTTTTGAGCAACTTCTTAGTGGGAAAAGTTGGGACTGAAGAGAGCCTGGACATCTTTCTATTTACAGTTTTACTCTGGCAATGGGGAAATAAGTTTGTCATTTGAGCTCCTTGTGGAATGCTTGTTCTTAAATGGGATGCAATACCAAAGAGCAACAACGTAGTGTGTGTCTATAGACCCAGAGCCATTGCATGGCTTACAAGGGGGTCTTCTTGTGAGAAACTAGTCAATCTGTGAAACTAGTATTAGCAGCTGGGGTTGGGGTACACTCTCGGAGGCCAGAGGTTATACGGTTGTCTTTTTGAGCCTTCTAGTTGCTGGAAACAACACTGGCCTCTCATTCCTTGATCTTTATTGTTCCTGATTCTAGATCCCTTGCCTTGCTGTGTTATATCTTTCTGAACTCCCTGTGAGATTGACCTTCAACTGTTGCTGGTTCTTGTTTCCGGATCATGTTTGGACCAAAACTGATTCTCCATGCTTGAACTTGCCTTTCTGCAACTGCACAGCACCTTCAACCCATGTTGACGAGTCCTTGGATGAAAGGCTTATACTTCCTGGGACTGAGACCCTAACCCTGAGGGCATGTGCTCCCAATTCCCCCAAAGATCAAACTTTTTGCTATAAGGAAAAAGACAGGAAAACACATTAGAAAGGGCGAGACAACATTTGTTTGACACAATGTTGTCTAGCTCCCCGCAAACAAATCAGAATGATTGCTCATAAGCAGGTCTTCTGGGAGCAATCCTAGTCTGGCTATTGGGGTTGCGTGTTCTAGAGGTAGAACATTTTTTGTAGATGAATTGAGTTCCACAGTTGCATAAAGCTGTTCTTGCCACTACCGGGTCATCGAGCAACGAAGTGATCAATGTGTGCGTCCTCTGTGATTTATAACAAAGAGGAGGATGTTTTGATTTCTTTGCCATAGCTTTTATTGTCCCGTTCAATTAACAAACTGAGCAACCGTGCTGAAGGGCTAATTATTTTTGTGGAAAAAGAAGATAATGTGGCTAAATGAAGAACAGATGCTGTGTATTTGTCACTGAATGATAGAAACATTTGTTAGCTGCACTCATTGGCTATATGAATTTAAAAAGTTGGCAAGCTATGTACTACTTACCCATGTGTTGAAAATCAAGCACGAAAATTTATTGGGCAGGCTCAGGAGGACATTCTGAATTATTGGGAATGTTGTCCCCTTGTCAGGCACAACAGACTGTAGCAACAAGCAGTGACTTTCTCCTCGCCTGCCTTTGTGGAGATGGGAGATCTCAGCTTGAGCACTACTTGACCAGTTACTAATGACAGAGAGAAAACAATAGCAAGAATTGACTATTAGGCAAAATGGTTCTTTCTCTCCTCTCCATCCCTACTCCGAAAAAGACAAGCAGGAAGCCAGAGATTAGCTTGCCTAAACACTCAACTTCTGCTAGTGGCTACAGGCTTGGAGACATGCTCCAACATGTGCCAGAGACACTGAACTGGTATGATACCCATTATGATCACATGTGTGCCAATCTGGTATATACTCTATTTCCCTACTGACATGATGGCCCCTCAAAACCCTGTATGCAGGACCTCCTTTTATCTGATTTGAAACATCTTTGGATGAGCTTTCCTGTCACACAGTCTTCTCCAATCTAGTGCCTTCCAGATGTTATGGACTCCCATCATTCCCAGCCCATAAGGCCAACGATCAGGGATGCTGGGAGTTGTACAAAACATCTGTCCCAAGAGGGAGTGCTTGGATGCATCTGGAATTTTCCTTGAGATCTAGACTAGAAAAGCCTAGGAAAAGTGAAAGCAGCGTGTTGCCACATTGTGATGGTGGCTTTTGAACAATCTCCAGCCAATGCAAGAGTAATAGGTGCACATCCTGTTATATTAAAATCTTGCCCCCAAGTTAAAAAACTTAATTTGCAAGTTACCAGCTTGGGGAGTTGCTGGGCAGCTCCAAAAACAGATGTCTGGGTTGTATCTTCTCCCCGTATATGGCTATTCAGTTGAGTATGCTTATCACAGCAACCATCTGAATTGACAACCAGCTGGAAGTAAGGGCTCCAATGACCGTAATTGTGTCCAAGTATCCAATAATAACCTGGCTGCATTCCCGTTCTCAGAATCCAAACTGTTTCTGTTAGGTCCTGGATCCCTTCTGCATTACACCCAATGAAGAGAAGGTCTTGTGTCTTCTAAAGCAGTGTTTCCCAACCTTGTGCCTCCAGCTGTTTTTGGCCTACAATTCCCATCATCCCTTGCCACTGGTCTTGCTAGTCAGGGATGATGGGAGTTGTAGGCCAAAAACAGCTGGAGGCACAAGGTTGGGAAACACTGTTCTAAAGAAAGATAATGAAACCGCTAAGTGGAGCCATTTTTCCAGACTCGGACTCCAATCTAACCATTCTAGTGGGAGATTGTCAGGCTTTTAGAAAACAAAGTACTGTAATCCCCTCCATTAAATCACAGAGCAGTGGCAGGAAAAGCTTTATTAACAATTTTATGTCAGGGAAGCTCCCAGCACCATACTTTGGAAGGATCACTTTCTAGCATTCAATGTCTACGTGGAAGAGAGTAACATCAGATCATTAGATTCTACAGAATGCAATAAATGGTTATGGTTACCTGAGTTTTGTTTGCTTCCAGATCTGTATTCTCACAAGCCTCAGGCTCCTTCAGATCTGGGCTACAGAAACAGCTCTATACTTAGAGCAGTGATGCCCAAACTTGGCCCTCCAGCTGTTTTGGCACTACAACTCCCATCATCCCTAGCTAACAGGACCACTGGTTGGGGATGATGGGAACTGTAGTCCAAAAACAGCTGGAGGGCCAAGTTTGGCCACCCCTGACTTAGAGGATTGTATTCAACTAAATTCTACTCGGCATCAACCTGTTGAAATCAAAGAGCTTCAGTTAATCATGTCCATTGGTTTCACCAGGTCTATACTTTAACTTAGTTGGATACAGCCTTGTACAGATTGTATTGTTCTCCTGACAATTCCAAATAGAAAAGTGGGGAAACCAGAGATGACAACAGGTTACAATGTCAGCAGTGTAGAAGTGAGATGTCTTACTTCCATACGCCTGACTGAGGTCTCCATTAGATGTGTTTCCACATACCTATATCTTAAGATATAACACTGGAGGTTCATGCAATGTTATACAGAGCCATCTGAACAGACTTCAGCATCCTGGAACTCTTCAAAAAATTCTCAAGCCAATGGAGGCAAGGTGAGCTTTTTCATGAGTTGTTGAATTGCTACCTCTTTTAAGATGAACAGGACTACTTGTTCATGCAAAGATGGATTGACTAGACCACCCATTATGCAGTCATTAATAAGTCAAGTGGGTAAGGGTTGAAGCACCATGGCAGTTCCTCCCAGCTAACCCACTCAGGTCTCAATAATACACATCAGATCAGCACCATCATTAACTGTATACTGATCTGGCATTAAACACTAGCACATGGAGGATCATGAGCACAACAGATGAGTAAGTGGAAACTTGGGAGTGAGGATCAAGGTGTCAATAGATGCGGGAATAGATAGGGGGAGGTGTGATTATCCTTCTTAGGGTGGTAAAGGTAAATCCTCTCCATTACTTGCCTGCTGGTGTAGCAGAAGCAAAAAGCAGGGCAAGATTGTAAGGCAAGTTTCCTACATATTTATAACTGCCAAGGTATCTGACATTGTGTTTGATGCACCATAATCTGCGCTCTGAGAATCTATATTTTGAAGAAAATATGGTGAGATTGTGTTCGAACACTTGTGAATTTGCTAGTAATTAGCATTCTTTAAACTGCTCGTTTAGAGCAAGAAATCAATACAGTGGTACCTCAGGTTAAGTACTTAATTTGTTCCGGAGGTCTGTTCTTAACCTGAAACTGTTCTTAACCTGAAGCACCACTTTAGCTAATGGGGCCTCCTGCTGCTGCCATGCTGCCAGAGCACGATTTCTGTTCTCATCCTGAGGTAAAGTTCTTAACCTGAGGTACTACTTCCGGGTTAGCCAAGTCTGTAACCTGAAGCATATGTAACCCAAGGTACCACTGTACTACCAGCCTCTAACCCACATCCAAAGTACCTGGACAGAAGCCAGTTTAATATGACTGAAGCAAACAGGTTTAAATTTGAGTTAAGCCTTGAGTTCTTTATTTCAGCTAGGCTTACATACTGTGGTTGACCAGGAGTGACTTAGGGACTTGTCTGCAGTAGGATTTGACCATGAACTAAGGGCAGTTTTATGGGAGCAGAGTTGTTTGTACTGTACTGCCAGTTATCTGAGTAATGTCAGTGGTTTGCGACTAGTGGCTTTAAAGTTTAAAAATAACAACAAAAGTATGATGGCATAAGCCTTTCTTAAAAAAAAAACTAGAGTCCACTACTATTAGATATACAAGGTGTTCTGCTCTGCTGGCAGATATATATTCATATGGATGTATAGGAAATACAACAAAACATGGATGGCTTTGGCTCTGTATACCAGAAGGAGCATCTCCACCCCCATCATTCAGCCCGGACACTGAGGTCCAGCTCCCAGGGCCTTCTGGTGGTTCCCTCACTGAGAAGTGAAGTTACAGGGAACCAGTAGGAGGGCCTTCTCAGTAGAGGCGCCCACCCTGTGGAATGCCCTCCCATCAGATGTCAAGGAAATAATCAACTATCTTTACTTTTAGAAGACAACTGAAGGCAGCCCTGTTTAGGGAAGTTTTTTAATGTTTGATGTCTTGCTGGGTTTTAATTTGTTGGAAGCTGCCCAAAGTGGCTGAGGCAACTCAGCTAGATAGGTGGCATATAAATAATTATTTATAAATAGGTGGCATATAAAAATTATTTATAAAT